AAACTTCTATCTGCGAGCAACACTAGTGCATGTTATAGGATTATCCGAAACTGAATATTCCACGTTCCATCTCGCCCGACTCAAAGCTCTTCGGTTTTGAAAACCATTCTTTCAAATTTACATCATGTCCCTGAGGCTTTTTAGAAACGTTCTCGAAATTTGTTCATTTTTTTTTTCTTTTTCTGGTAAGAGTCAAGTGAAATACACGTATAAAGGAGGCATAGCTCCGGTGTTCACTGATAACTCCGAAATTTCGAAAAAAAAAAGTTTTACTTGTACATGTTTTGAAAATTGTAATAGTTTTCGCGTAATTTCGAGTGAAAAGTGTGCAATATAAAAAATAGCGTCAAAATAAGATTTTATCAAAAATGGCTCCAATTTTTTTCTTTAAACTTTTAGTAGAAATATTCGTAAATACTCTGTTATTTTTTTCTTCAAAAATTACACTAACATATTTTTCATTTCTGTTACGTAGTATTTATATTACCAGCGATTTGTATCAGTAGCGTAAAGAAAAGAATGCGGATCTGTCTGCAAAAGTTTTATCCTCGCCCTCTTTATAAAAGTGTGTAGCAAATTCTAGTAGTGTAAATAATACAAATATTCCCTAAAAATAAATAGGCCCTCATTTGCCTGTCCCAGATCGCATTGCGAGCCCGAACGTTACGCTACTGATTTGTATACATTATTGCATTTTTGAGTACAAGGGTGGTAAGTACATATTGGTGTCCTGTGAAGTACTCAACTCAAAAGTTTTCTGTGAGAATTATCTCCAAATTTCACGTTTTTCAGAAACGCCCAAACATCATTTTCTCGAAAAATGCTCCAAATTTGTTCTTAAATGTCTTTTCTATGGATAATCAACTGAATAGCATGACACAAATGCATTTTTTTTAATCCCTCGCATCGTTAGTATTTGCATTACGGGCATTTCTTGTACATTGCCAAATTTGTGAGTACAATTGCTTCAAATTATTTCTTATGAAGTTCCTTAAAAAGTCAAGTTTTGAACGAAAATGAGTTTCAAATTATACATACCCAAAACGCTTATTATCACCCCACTTCCAAATTTTTCTTTTTTGCCTTTGTTTTTTCTTCTAATTTGCCTACAAGGCGAAATTGTATACTTCTGTAATATTCTTAAAGTTATATTTAATTTTTACAATTATGTATTGAGAAAATACAAAATAAATAAATTTAGGCTCCAATAGATGGCTGAGAAGGGGTGACCGAAAATATAGCCCAGATTGAAGAGATTAGGAGAATGTCTGTGACACTTGGTAGCACCTCTAGTTCTTAATGTGTAGGCATATATTAGGAGTCTTGCATGTGCATAAGCATGAACAGCCTAAAACTCAAGGAGATGCCATCTACATTTCTGGTCCCTTTTTGTATTGACCTTTTTTTTATTTACAATTGTCATTTTGAATGACAATATTGTATCATTAAAGAAGCAACTGATAAATACAATTTATTTATTTTTTTTAAACAATTTACCCAGTAATACACGATTATGCCCTTGTCAGTTGCTTCTTCTCCCTTCCCTTTTGGCAATTGCACAAGTGTGAAGAACAAAATCTACAATTCTATTTTCACTGACACCATTTCAAGTTTCAAAAAGGAGTCCGCAATAGTATTTTGTAGAGTAAAATAAATTCGTAACTGTCATACCGAATGGTCATGTGCAATCAAGATTACAAAGAAATGATAGTTTCCTTCCCCGGAAGTTATAATGTTAATTTTAGAATTAGAATAAAAATGGGAATCACTTTAATTATTAATATTATTACTCTAACTATTAAATGCGTTTTTAATGTTTCCTGTGTCTGTTTCCTCTTAGCCAGAAAATTTGTCTTTTTGGCATGCCTATTTTAGTTTAAAAAAATGCCTTTTTGCCTGCCTATTTTAGGTAAAATAAATGTCTAAAGTCTATTCATAATAGGTGTAAATCAATTTTAACATGTATATTTTTACAATTTTTATTCCAAATGAAATGTAAAGTATTTTCAGGAGCAAAAGCAATTTTAGTTGTAGTTATTATCAATTAAATGTGAATATATTGCATATTTTAAAGTACAAGCAATTGTTTAACTTGTGTAGAATTTTAGGATGTAATTCTAGTTTTTTAAAATGACTCAGTAGCTCAGTGATTAGAGCAACCAGATAGTAATATGTGCAGAGAGCAACTGAGAAGAACCAGGGAGCTAGGATTTGATTCCTGGTCAGGGTGGCAATTCTTTGGAAAAATTTAATATTTTAAATTACTTTGTCAAAATATTTTAATAACTACACAGGGGTGGAATTTTTTTCCCTTAGGTGCCAGAAAAGTTAGCTTTGTGACTTCCAACAGCATACAGCAGCATTTCATCACCACAGTAGATTAAGATACAGAAGATTGCCACAGAAGGTTAAGATAAGAACCTTAGAATATTAATATTAAAATAATTAACAAACTTCTTTTGAATCCTAGTAACTGACAGATAATGTCTTATTTCAAATCTTTTTGTATTCAGAATAATTATCTGGCATTGTTTTAGAACAGGTTAAAATAGATTTGAGTGTTTTCTCCGATTGCCATCTTACATATAAACTACACATTGAACATGTTATCATAATTGATCACTTGGATTTTTTTTTGAGAATTTGCATAAGTCTGAAGTCCATTGAAGCATTTCATTAACTTCTTTTTGCAATTGTTTGGCCTAGGCTCAAATATGCATGTCTTGTGTGATCTCCTAACAGAATAGTTTACTTGAAAAGTATCACTTAAAAATTTCAGACAATTTGCTAAATTCTTTGATTTTAAATTAACTGTTTCCACCTCTTGGAACTGATAATGAATACCTCTATGACAAGTTTATGCCTGGCAGTCTTGGTAGAGGAAGAAAACAATAACATATTACTTATTTAAATTAAAATTATTCAAGGAAGCGTTCTTGCACCCTTTTGGAAAGTTTCATTTTCAATTCCGCAATACTATTCTCGTTCCTTCAGTTTTTTAAAATCCTGCATCTAACAACAGGTAAGAGCAGAAATCCACTTTATTTACAATTATGGAGTACACTAACATTTGTTTAGTTCTTGTGATTCGAATTTAGATCTATCAGTCGACTCCAAAAACTACCATATTGGGCATGTTATTATGTTAATGCTTGTTTTCAAAATTATATTGTAATTCTTATATCCTCTTAGAGTAACCTGCTGGAGTTTGTTATATAAAAATAAAATTTCAAATACTACTCACCAACAAGAAATTACTATTTGCCTACATCTGGTTTCCAAATATACCAAATTCCACATATTCCCAGTTCCTGAAGATAAATCCAAACTGAAGTCAGTTATTCTTTTTTATTTCCTGTATAAATTTCTTGTTATCCAATTAATTTTAAGCAGGTGCAGAACCACAGGGAGGGAAATATTCTCCCCAAAACTTTTTAATTAACTATTATTTTTAACTTGTCACAAAACTTTCAAGCAAAAACACTTTCAAATAAATATTAAAACAAATAAAATTATATCGCAACAAGAGCTGAGTTTAGCCTGTGTCATTTTACATAAACTGTAATGCGACACATTCGACCAACACATTTTGAATAAAAAGATTTCCCCTCCCAAAATTCGTATCTGAATCTGCCCCTGTTTTAAGGCACTTAACTTCGTTTTTCTTTTTAATTAAGAGTCAAAACATTACACAAATATCTGGCCAGTGTAACTGTAAAACTTCAATTTCATCAATTTAAGCTATGAAGCAATCAGACACGCATATGAAAAATTTTGCTATTTGTCTCATTAACAAAACATCCGATATACAGAAATCTTGGATGAACATGAAATATGTTTGATAAAGATATAATTTTGTCAGTAGATAAAAAAGGCCCTTCATTTTCCAATTCAAATCACAAAATGTAAGAACATAATATTGTGTTGGTTTTCATGACAATAAATTACGGATAAACTTAGAAAATTGCAAACAGCTGAAAAGGTCTAAGAATGAAAGCAAATAAGTTGCTGCAAAGTTCATTGTAACGATTAATCTGAAGCAAAAGTGCATAAATAAATTCAGAAGATGATTTTCTCTAGTCAGACACAAGTAATGATGTTGGAGAAAAAGAGCTAAGCAGAATAGAATATGCAAATATTTCAAAATTGTTGAAATGGAAGATGAACCTACATATATACAAAACTCCAGATTTAAAGCAAGTTTGAGAAATTTGGTCAAAGTCTCAAAATTGTCTACTCAGTAAAATAATTAATGTAATTACATGTTCTACTATAAATATCACCCCTCTATCATATGAGAAAAAGTTCCTGCCTTTATATTAGTCATTGTGGATGAGTATGCTGTCTGTGGGAGTGACTTAACCCTGCAGCACTCATGCTAGTAAAATTAGGAGTACATGTGGTGATATTTAAATTTTTGTTTTATTTTGCTTCATAAACCAACTAGGATGTTTCAGGTTCAAACATGCATACAAAAACATACATTTACTAATATAGAAATTTTTAAACTTTATCAAAGTACAATGATTAACAAGAATTAGAAAGATACATCTGTTGTAAACTAAATGCTTCAGATTGCTGTGCTGTGCATGGTTTGAATAATGACATCAAAAAAACTTTTCTGATGACAGCATAAAGTCTATTGGCAGAAAGAAGACATTATCACATCTGAGAACAATATCAGAGCGGTTCTGAGGATGAGGTTCTCAAAAAATCTCTATCAATGGAAGAACAACTTGGTCACCTTAGAGATCAACCATGTGTGTTTGTAGGGTTAAGTTTCTCAATTTGAATTCTGCTGAAACAATAGAAACTAATGTTCCAACTGTTACACTATGTCCATTTTCATGTTCATTCTTATTTAGTGCTATCAAACCTCTTTACAAAAAATAAATAACATTACGTACACTACTGTTAAAGCACATTTATTCTAAAGAGGAACAGGAACATATAAAATTTGATCTATACAAAATATGTTTGTGCTAAAATATATGCATTGGTCATTTTTCTTGTGTTTTCTCCTCTGCCGTCCAAGCAAGAAGATCAGCTTTTCTACAACTTGATGTCGAAGACATGAATTCACCACACTTATAAAACATTTCAAGTGCCCAGTTATGATTATTATACATGTAATAGCGGAAATCACGCGAAGTGTTCATTTTATGCCATACTCCATAAGCTCCCACAAAAGCAAGGCCTTCAACAACAAATAAAACTCCAGCAACTTTGGCCACAGTTTTCCGAAACGTTGAAATAGGATATTTCTTCATTTTGTTACAATACACCTACGACGTCACTGGAACATATTCATAAAAATAGTTGTATATTTTAATACAGATAACGAAACGTCTTTAACTTGGAAATTGAAAATCATTCCAACCAGATTAACAATTGTCAAACATGGACCATATGGAGTTATTTGAATTAACTTATTTCCATCGACAGTGGCAGTGTGGGGTTGGTAGTAGTGACTTGCGAGATGCGGGGCCGCCCGACGTATTCTCTCTGGACCCGACCGTGTTCATAGCTGAACGTCGCATAACAAACTTCGGCCAAGTAGTTTCAATGAAGTTCGCGTGTGTCGCTGGTGTCGCATACGCAAAGCGTACTGCTCTTTTCCATATACTTAGAACATGCATATGCTTCGTAGATTGGTTGTAAATAAAAATTATTTAAAAATTGCTATTGGGAAGGGCAAAAGTCGAAAGGTACTATTTTAAGATTTCAAGTTTGTCAATGATTTCATAGTTTTTAATTTTTTAACTTATTTTATTACAATTTCCTTCTTTGTAATGTAAATAATAGAATTTGGGTTAGTTCTAAATATTTATTTTGTATTAAAATTTCAAGTTCTTAATTTTTAGATTGATTTTTTTAGAAACATTATATAATGTGTGATTAAAATTCCTACATAATATACACTATATTACAATATAGAATATATACACTAATATACAATATATTTCATTTTGTAGTAGAAAATTAAAAAAAAAATGTTTGATTTTTTAAAATATGACTTTCTCTGAATGACAAATTGCAACACAGTATGCAATGAAATAAGTAACAACAAAATTATGTATAATGAATACACACAATATCAAAAATCACAATAATAAAAGGAGACTATAATTAATAACAACAATTAACCACACTCATTGAAAATGCAATAAAGACATGGGAAAATTATTAACAAAATGGTATTTAATAGAAAAATATCTTTATGGTCTCCCAAATTATTGTAACTAAACTTTAGAGAGAAGCTACAAACTTATCAATACTTGGTGTGAGCACCTTCAGCATGAATAGTAGCATTAATTCGTCTGGGCGTGCCTTGAAGGAGTTTTTTACATAATTCAGCAATTTCATCTTCATTCCAAATGGTAATGAGTATTCCACGAGGATGTTTTCCCTTCACTTTTGTTTTAAGAACTCTCCATAAAGATCCTGTTGGATTCATATTCGGGTTATTTCCTGATCAATTGAGCACACAAAAATCACTGGACTCCAATTCACTCCTCACATTTTTTAATCGGTGGCAAGGGGCATTATCGTGTATGAAAATTGCATCCTAGATGGAAACTGACATTCATTGCTGAAACAAGGCTTCTCAGATGACCTCTTTATATTGTTCGCTAATCGTGTTGCCTTTAACTGCGTGAATTTTGTCCGGTTCTTACACAACCCCACAAATCACTTCAGTGGAAAACTTCACTAGTTGCACCACACATTCTTTCTTCAAGGCTTCCCCTAGCCGTCTTCTAACATAATGGGGAAGTAAATTTGAGCACGACCTGAAGTTAAAGCTATTTTATTTACCTGCACATTAATGCAGTAGACGTACTTTTTTTTATTTCGGTCACGAACGTTCTAAAAATTGGGAAAGAATAGAATATTATTTATAAATTGTACAAAATAACTTATATACCTTCTACCACTGCTGTGTTGTCCATCCTTGGCGCAACTTAGCCCATTGAAGTCGTTTCTTCAATTATTATCAATTATTATTTATTATGGGATTGTGCTTTTAAGTCACATTCAAACAGCCTCCTTCTTATTGTTCTTGAGGACATTTATACTCCGTCCTCTTGGGCAAGCCTTTGGGGTTGAGAAGATGTCAAATATCTCTTTATCTTCTTCTTAGCAAAAGACGGACCAAAACTTTGGTTGTAGCCCACTTTCTCCCTTCCTCTGAGGCGCGGACTGCTTTCCTTCTATTAACTTCTTCGCAACTCTAGTGGCATACGCCACACTAGCTCCTACATTACGAGTAATTTCGATCATGGTATTATTACTGGATTGCAGTAACACTTCGACTCTGGCACGTTTTCGTGGACACACGTCTGTTGCCTTGCACATCTTCGTGCTTACACGGACTCTCGAACTGTGAATAACTCCGATACGAGGGTTGCCTTTTATATTTCAGGATTATAGAACAAAAACAAATATTAATCATCACTTTATTGTTTTTCAAAATATTCCCCATGAAGATCTATACAATTTTGAATGCGTTTGAACCAATTGTCGAAGCATTTTTGCCACTCTCATTGAGGTTCCTCCAAAACATGCATTCTGATCACTCTTCACCCCGACAATGCGAGCTCTAACACATCTGCTCAAAGAACTGCATTTTTGAGCACCCAAAACATCGGTTTTTATGAATCATCCTAGGTATAATCCTGACTTGGCACCGAATGATTTCCTTTTATTCCCCGTACGGTAAAAAACAAACTGAGAGGCAACGTTTTTCGAACACCTGAAAAAGCGGTTGCTGCGTTCGAATGCATGTTTTGGAGGTACTTAAAATGAGAGTGGCAAAAAATGCTTCGACAATTGGTTTCAACGCATTCAAAAAGTGTAGTAGATCTTCAGGGGAATATTTTGAAAAAACAATAAAGTGAATTTCGATGATTAATATTTGTTTTTGTTCTCTAATCCTGAAATATAAAAGGCAACCCTCGTATAAGTGTCATTCGACTCAGTCTCCTGGTGGGCAACTGATAATTTGTTTTCGGATCCGGCCAGAAGATTCTATGGAATTTCCAAACACATGGTTTGGTGGCTTGAAGAACTTCAAGTAAATACGGAGAAAACTGTGAGTAATGTTACACAATGAAAGCCCGTTTCGACTTCTCGCATTTACGGTGTGCAAATACAGATTTTCGAATGAACGTGACTAACAACTTATTCTTATTAAACTTCACACCTTATTCACATAAACATACAAAAAAGTCGTCTCAACTACTCATATGCCATTTGTTTTAGGGGAAGTTTTTACCATCTTATGCGGGGGAACCCTTCGCCCCCCCCCCCAATAAAAGATCCTAAATCCCGTCTCTGTTTGGGAGTCAAAGTGCTTCAAATGATTTCCAATGCATTCTCTAATACGGTAGTAGTCGAAAGTTTTATATGATAAAGGGATTCAAATTTCGCATTTACAGAAGCTTAAATGATATTTTCTCAAAAACTGCTCCAAATTTTTCAAATAAAATTGTCCATTTTCTGGAAGTCGAATAAGAGAACTGTTTTTTTTCAACACCCGATAGCTCATAAATGTAAGGTAGAAAATGAATTTATTACCAAATGTTATGTACAAATATGGTAACGTTTGTACATAATCACAGTGACGATTCAGGCATTTGTCATGTCTATGGACGAGCTTTCCAATCCCCTCTGCTTGGAATGTTGCCGCTAGTGAGTTGAGATGGTCCTTGACAATGTTTTGAAGGTCGTCTGTACCCAGGAAGCTCTGCCCTCCTAGCCACTTTTTCAGTTCAAGAAGGAGATGGAAATCGCTTGGTGCTAAATCGGGGATATACGCCGGATGTTCAAAAACTTCCCACAGAAATTGTGCAAGTAATCGTCGGGTTACAGCAGCGCTGAGAGGGTGAGCATTGTCATGAATCAGCATGCCTCTTTTTTATTGCTATTTTTTAAAATGGCGTTTGTGTATACAGTTGATATATAAACTTCAGAAAATTCCACATTCAACTCACTAATGGTAAATCTCCGTTTTCCACGAACCATTATGTCAATTCGTTGAACAATGTCTTCTGATGCGACAGACTTGCGCCCTTGTCCCCTTCATCGTGAATACCGGCTCGGCCTTCTTTAAACTTCCTACACCATTCACGCTACCATCCACCGTAAAGTTATCACCGTTTACTCGGCTCATCTTTCGATGAATTTCAACTGCACTATTCCCTTCCTCTTGAAGAAATCGAATTTCACTACGTAACTCGTAAGATCATTCACTAAAGTTAACAAAAAAATATTTACTGACTACTTGCTGAAGGACTCATGGGACACAGTTTATAACGCTGCCGACACAAATTAAAAATATAATTTTTTTTCTCAAAGCTCTCAAAGCTTAAACGCGTGCTTTCCTCTCAAAAAGGGAAATTAAACATTTCACAGGAAAAATAATACTTGTATCACCCAAGGAATTAGAACATCGTGTAAAAAACAAAGGTACGTGTTACTTTATTTCTAAACATCATAACGCATCGCCAGGTTTCCATGTCTACTTCCGAGAATATAAAAGAATTTTAAGGAAAATAATAGTTCAGGAAAACCTAATGAAAAAAAAGAATCAGGATATTTTGAACGCTAGTAACAAACCAAAAGAAAGTGGAATTTCGTAAGAAAATACAATCATATCATCTCATTACTTAGTAGAGAATGTTGTTTTAGGATAAAGTGAAGCAAGTAATCCGAAAAAAGTGGCAAATTTCTTCAACCAACATTTTCCTAGAACTGCGGCTGAACACATAAAGGGACTAAAACCACAAAATTCAACATTATTCCCAAATCAGATGAACAACTCAAGCTGATGGATATGTTACTGTGTCCCACTTACTGTGCGTCTGTGTCTCCCTTTCTGTGCGTCTGTGTCCCGAAATTTGTGTGATCGTGTGTCCCGCTTTCTGTGTGTGCGTCTTCCGCATTCTCTCTAGGCATGAGTGTCTCCCGCTTGCTGTGCGTGCGTGTCTCCCGCTTTCTGTGACTGTTGGTATGTGTGTCCCACTTTCTGTGCGTGCGTGTATGACCCGCTTTTTGTGCATGCTTGCATGTCCCGTTTTTTCTGCGTGAGTCCCGCATTCTGTGTATCTGTGCCCCACTTTCTGTGCGCGTGTGTCCCGTTTTCTGTGCGTGTAAGTCCCGCTTTCTCTGAGTGCGTGAGGGTCCCGCATTCTATGCGTACGTTTGTCCCGCTTTCTGTGGGTATGTGTGTCACTTCCTGTGCATCTGTGTTTGTCCCAATTCCTGTGCG